GGTTACTTCCTTCAAAAGCTTCAATTTCATTCAATTTGCCTTTAGTCCAGATCAGGCATGCAACTATCCCAAGCTAGGGCTCGCCGATCGGCAGCGAACATGTTCAGTAGCGAACCGTTCGGTCACCGAACTATCGGTTTGGTGCATGCCTAAATGCACCGTATCATCCAGGGAAAACTCTATATGATGCAGTTTTTGGCGTTCTATCACGCGGAATGAGTGTCCACATGCGCCGTCGTGCAAATCAAGGATGATTCAGGCCTTTTGGTACCATAAACTATTGCTCATTCATAAAGAACATCGAGGTAAGAATTGATGTTTATAACCCTCCTTTCTGTCCGGTTCTAGCGTATCTCTCCCCCTCTTCATCTGGATGTCTTTCAAAACTCTGTGCTACTACTAAGGATGGCATTACCGTGGTATCTTTTTATTTCAAAAAAGTCAAGAGTAAAGTTATAATGCATATCTTTTCTTTACTAAGAAAAAGGATGGTGGCTCGTTTTCTTTTGCAGACAAAAGAACAGCAATATCTGTTCTTTTTCCAACAAGTTTACACTGTCTTTTTCTTGCAAAAAGAACAGATATTGCTGTTCTTTTTTTTAGGAAAAAAAAATGTGTCGCCTTCCTTTTTCTTAGGAAAGAAAAGATATGCATTATATCTTTACTATTTTCTGTTGTGAAGAAAAAGAAAAACTTTTTGTTTGTTAATAAAAAAATGAGCTAGGGAAAGAGAAAGTGCCACCCCTAGCTACTACAATAGTTTGAGTTTTTTGCCCTGACTGTAAAAAAGCAAGTTAATTATTTTCAAAGGTATCTAAACTTGTGGATCATCAAAAGGTCAAATAAATCAACAACATAGATACTGGTAATATCTTTAGAGAATCTATTTTTTAGCACTAATATATCCCTTCATTCTATTGTTGTTTAACATTGCTCCTCTAGACTAAGAGATAAAATGGTTAAGACTAAAGACTTACGGTATTTGTTTAGCAGCTAAAACCAGTTTTGCCCGTTGTACGTAGGGACAAAAACGCATACCATATACACGCAATTGATTTTTGTCATTAAATGGTGGACATTCAGAACCTTTATTTTAAGATTGATTAATAATATGAGAGATTAGTGGAGTGAGAAACACCACTCACCAGAGGCAAGATGTTTTGATACAACCATTGCTATTGTCGTTGCTAAAAAATATTTCAAATTTTTTAAACAAAAAATAAGTTTATATTCATCTTACTTTTTGTTCTTTGACTGAGATTATATAAGGTGTATAAAATGCTATGTCATTCTCCCCTTATTTTCTTTCCTTTCTTTTTAGCTTTTTTCTTGTGATGACGAAGCATATGATTACGCATAATTCTTCTTAAACACAATTTTCTGCCAGAAATTAACAAAATCATATCTGTTTAACCAATTTTCCGCCAGAGGATACTTTTAATATTAACGCTTAGAAACGACAAGTTGAATTTTTGTAAACCATGGTATCAAATAATTTAATTACTTTTTCTTTTTCTTTTCAAGAAAAGAAGGGACGCTGACGGGGGTACCTCTATAACTTGAAAATCGCTTTTGGCTCAAAAACCAATGGACGATAGCTTATCGACCGCGATGATTCCGAATATGAACATGATTTTTACCACACAACCGATCGAGAAAATCGTTTTTTCGAAAACTCTAAAAAAATAACCAAAACCTTTCTTAATGAGGCATGGTTGTAGCGCGCAATTATAAAGTTCGAGAGGTTTCCTCGTGCGTGAGTTGTACAGCCATTGTACCATTGTAATGCGTTAACGAGGGAACATTAAAAAGGATGTACCCCATGGATCTCCAGCTTAAAAGGATTTATCCCCATAGCTCTTGAAGATCCGGTTTTCTGGACAACCAGTTTTTCACAAACTCAAAAGAATACCGAAACGTTTCTTAATAAAGCATGATTGTAGCCCGAAAATTTCTGGTTAAATGAGACGCCTCTCAGCTCTATACGACCTTTCTTTGTAACGTTATAAAATTTACCAGAAAAGCCCTAAATTGATTTCGTCGTATTTCTGTAGCTTTTTACCTGACAATGAACAATGAGGGCTTTTCTTGTAAATTCTATAACTTTGCAAAGAAAGGTTGTGTAGAGCTGGGAGACGTCTCATTTAATCAGAAATTTCTGGGCTACAATCATGCCTTATTAAGAAACGTTTTCGTTATTTTCTTGGAGTTTGTGGAAAACTGGTTGTCCAGAAAACCGGATCTTCAAGAGCCATGAGAATAAATCCTTTTAAGCTTTTTACTATCTCGATATAGGCATATCGATCATGTAGAATTTTGCAATTTCATTATCAGTCAGATGGGTCTTCAAAATTACACTAATTATGGAAAAGATGAACACAACCATTTAACAGAAGATGCTTACATTAAAATATCCAAGATCAATCGTTTGAATGTATTTTCGTGTGAAAAAGAAAAGAAACTTTCGGAAACTTTTTCTGATTTACTTAAATGTGGGATTTATATTTACCAATCAGAACGAAACCTGTGGATAAAATTTAAATCACTTTATTTTCAAGTGCGACGAAACAGCAACAAAATCCCGTCGACACTGTTTTAGATATTGAACAAGGTAGCTGTGTGACAGGAAAAATTTGTTTTTCTTTAAAGCATCTTTTACGTTGTAGATAGAATTTGAATTTCTGAAAATTATCATTTATTATTAACAAAAGTTAAATGCTATTTAATACGCTATTAATAACCGTTTAAATGAAACTTTTCTAACGACATGTGGCACAGTTTTTGTGAAAAAAATTCTTCTGAAACCTAAGGTACTATCATCTGCACCGACCCAAGAACCACAGACCACTTCTTCGAGGCAAGTTTCTATGACTCGTATAATTGAAGAAGAGAAAAGTTATTTTAGGAAAATCAGAGTCATTTATACTAGTCATGACGGCAGAATATTAGGTGAATGATTTGGTAATCAGAAACTGTCTGTTAAAAGTTATGATCAGTTTTTTGCCATTTGAAATGGAGAAAAAACTGCCTCAACACGGACATGTGACCGACACATTTATTTCGCATTAGTTAACGCGGTCTAATAAATGGGCAAAAATGCATTTAATGGTGTTCATAAATGCCAATTTTTCGGACATTGACTATAATCTGCTATTATTTTCACTGTTATTTAGTCAAAAAAAGGTCATTATAATGGCTATTAAATGCCAATTTTCATTCGTTTTTTACACAACTAACACGCTATTTTTTGGCATACAGTTAACAGGCTATTAATGGACAATTAAATGCCAGTTTTCATCGGCCTGGGTAAAATAACCAATAAGTGCACTTATTGTATTAGTCAACAATTACATCGAGAACTAGTTATTATTATTGCGTGCTTTACCATTTAGACAGTTTTTTTGATCAGTCAAATGGACGTTAATAGTTACATATGTTCTATCTTTCATGTTTTTCTGTCCTATCTATTTGTCTTCGTTTGTATCACACATTCCATGTTAAAGCTAAAGTACTATGCTGACCTTTCGTTCCTGGACCACTGACTTTAAACTCTTCCTGCTCCCAAGGAAAGACTAGAAGACGCAATGTACTCACCTGTCTTGTTAGAATGATAGTGAATATATTTTAGAAAATAATAATAAAAAACACAAGGAAAATAAGAGTATAAAACGGCGAAGAAGAGATCAAGAATACAATCTAAGATACAATAATAATCACCACTACCTTCTGACTACCATTAACTTCTCCTCTGAATAAAAAAATCACTGTACACTTGAATATATTGTATCGAAAACAAATCATAGAAAGAGACGACGAGTATGAATCAAACAGAGAAAATAGGAGACCTAGAATAAGATAACTAGAGATAAGAAATGGTGACGATAACAAATATACACAAGAAGAGAAAGAAGTAGATTATAGACTGTAAACTATATTACGAATTTAAAAGAGAAAGGAAAAAAAACACGTGAATAAAACTATGTGCAAAAGCATGCGGTGGACTAGTGCGCTAACGAGGAAACATATCCAACTGTTACCTCGCTTTTTCAGCCAAAATCATTGGGTTGTAGGTAACCCACCACACTGATTCCGAATATGGACATGCGAGCTTCCACTAGATGCCCAGATAAATGGTCCCGTTTCTGGGAAATCTCTTCATATATAATAAATGCCGTTTATTAGGTTTTTGGCGAACTGTTAGAGAAAAAAATCTCGCCTGACATGTTCACAGTAAAATGATATTTTCTCCCCGAAGAAGCAACCCAATGAGATCATTTTTTTCCCCAGATACTCATCGTATAGAACAAAAAAAGGGTAAACGTTTGGCTTCAAACAGTTCATTAGAGGCTGAGTTATAATCAAAACAATTTACGAAATCGGGCGGACATTTTTTATGGAAACAACATTCCGCAGCAATGTCAATTCCCGCGCTGTTTGACAAATTAAAAAATGATCCATCCCATACGGCTGAATTGCTGAATAATCATTTTGCAGAAATCATTTTGTCACATGCAGAAGCAAATGACCTTCCCAGGAAAAAGCATAAGCCAGGTACATACGCAATGTCTAGTTCACATAAACCATTGCTAATGATACTTGCAGCAAAGGGGCTTCCGTCTCCATTGCTTGAATGGTTCGCCAGTTACCTATATGGCAAAGAAATAGCAACTATGGTAGAGTCAGTATCCTCATCAGCAAAGTGAATTCATATACCCGTCAAACTGAGAGAAACTCACATAACAAACGGGTCCAGCGCAAGAACTTCACCTTAAAATCTGCTTTCGGTTCTTCTGTACCGAAAACTATAGAGGACTGAAACAAATTACGCTGTACTGTTGTTCATCAGAATACGCTAAGAGCATTTTCAACTGTATTAAAACAACATCTTTTTACTGTCTAAATCTTTGCTATGTGTGTGTGAGATTTGATTTTATCTGGTGTTACATTCAAACAAGCTCTAGCTTTCTTGTAATTTCCTTGTGTTCTTTGCAAAAATAAATTCATTCATTCATATATTTGGTAATGACCAGTAGAAACACATAAACAAATGGCGATACACAAACTGCAGCTAACAGATCACGGCAGCAATAGATATAAGTACAGCGAAAAATTAAAGTCACTCAGTAAATTTGTATATTAGTAAATATTTGTTGAAGTCTAACGTAGTTCTTTATAGCGCACAAAAGTAATAGCTATGGATAGTATGTACTGCATAACTCATACTATCCCTGTTGTTTTATCGAATCTTTCATATATGGAATTAGTCCGTAAACAAGACAAAAATATACACTACTTCTATACATTTAATTCAACTATCTATACTGTATTAATATATACTATATATACTATATTAATTCAACTATATATACTGTCAAGATGTTATTTTTCTTTCTCTTCGTCTTTCGTTAACAGGTTAAATGCTTAGAGATATCAACATCCTTATTATTTTTTATATTTTACGTGCGTAACCAAAACAAACAAAATATTCATATTCAAGCGAATAAATGTCCCAGAATGTTTCTGCACATTTACCCAACATTATTTTAAATCATTTAAAACATTTGACAACATTACCATGCGAGTATTTTTATTCAGGCTATTTACTCTATCTTGATATAAGTGATTTTACTGTTCTAAGTGAACAAGAAAGCCTTCAAACGCTAACGTCCATAATCACATCATATTTTAGTTCAATTGTCAGTGTAATACTTAGTTATCACGGTGATATTTATAAATTTGCTGGTGATGGTCTTCTTGCACTGTGGACAGATGATTATGAACAGTTACTGAGTTGTGCTTGTCAATTACAGCAACATCAATATACCACTAATGACAGTATTCAGTTGCAAATGAAAATTGTGGTAACCTATGATGCAGCAATGAAAACAATTATTTTGGGTAATGATGAGTTCAAGCATTACGTCACGCTAGGAAAATGCTTACAAGAGTTAAACGAATGTGAAGCGATTTGTCAACCAGGAGAAATCATTATAACTCCTTCAATGTTAAGTCGAATGCCACATTTATTGAATAAATATCAGTTTATTAAGAAAGATAATAATTATATATCACTGAAATATCCAGTAGGAGCGTTACAAATGAAACAGGTTAGTTCTTTATTATTTACACAAACTATCTCTCAACATATGATATGTACTCTATTAGCTGTTATCAACTCAGAACTCATTACCAGATAACAGACAATACTTACCAATAATCCAAACATTTCTCCTCGATTCTAATATTTGTCGACAATTATCCGAATTACAATGTGTTACAATTACATTTATTAATCTCGATACTATTTCTTCATTGATAGACGATTATCAACGAATATTTTTGCAAATATACGAGATAACAAAAACGTTTGATGGTCTGCTCACAAAAACAATATTATTTGACAAAGATTGGTCATTTCTGTGTGTATTTGGACTATCGATGTCTAAAGATTATAATTCTGCTCAACAAGCATTAAAATCTTCGTTTAAAATTCATGAGGAATTAGGAAAGTGCTCCATTGGTGTAAGTCTACCAATTTATTGATAGTTTCTCTCCTTCTGATGAGATTTGTTTGTTATCCTAGGTGAGTACTGGTCTTACCTATTGCGGCATTATTGGTGATCCACGACAACGATGTGAATACACCGTCATTGGACGAGAAGTGAATTTGGCTGCACGTCTCATGAGTACATATAAAAACGTAGTATCGTGTGATGAACGAACAATGACAACAGCACAATTAAACTCATGCAACTTTCATTACTTAGTTCAGAAAGAATTAAAAGGTTTAGCAAATGTTGGTCAAATATGGCAGTACAAAGAATAATTTTGTAAAAATGTTTATCTTTCGTTCTAATAGATGTATTATTCGCGCAGCATGTTATATATACTTTAGCGGAGAATTTAATAGTGCATGGCACAGTTAAGGGTTGAAAGGAGGGGTACGCATAAGACTGGAAATCGGCCCACTATATTTTTTGTCTACGAATGATTCTGTGAGTAGTAGAAGAGTATTATCAGTTGTTTTTAACACATTTCGCGTACGTTTGATAACTAAAATCCTTTGAATACAGACAAAATACAGAAGGATGGACTTTTCTGATCTACTCTTTATTGTTGCATTTTGCATGCTTAAAACATTTTGAATAAAAAATATTCTTCGTATTTGTGATAATCGTGATTTGATTCTTCCTCCATCTCTCGAGCTACAAAAATAAGTTTCTTTGAAAGATGTCACTCAGAAATTCATCGCTTCCTATTGCCTATTGCTCAGAAAAAATAAACTAAAAGAAATGCAATAATCGAGGTTCCGTATAAACAGTACGTGTTGTTTTTTTTGGTACCATACGATCATACTAAATTTATTGAGGCATCAGTAATTAGCACCCCTTCAAGAATGCACGCAAGAACATAATATGTTTATCTTTTCTTCTGATTATGTATTACAGCTCAGGATATTGCGTGGGGTGGGATTGAAAATCCGCCTCATTTCAGGAAAATTTCTTCCATGCTATACCATTTGCGTTTAGTGTCATAGTCATAAACGAATAAACCAGAGAGAAATCGTATGAGACTGATGTTCTATCGCTCCAGATAGAGGAAACATTCAATTCATCGTATCCCACCACACCTCGGTGAAACCTTTAAAGCTCCACCACCATTTAAACCTCACAGTATGGGCTATTATAATCACGATAGACGTTTCCTTGTAATAGTTCCGTGGCAGAGAAAATCGAACAAAAATGAGCGTCACGGAGTTTCACCTTTTTTGGCTATGTTTTGCAGATGGTTTAGTATGTGTTTTTTCTGCCACAGAACTCGTTACGAAACTCTCTTTCGTACATGCACAGATAGTTTGAGATGCCCATTATCCGATGCAATCAAAAATAAACTTTCAAAATCAGATTAAACGGGCAGAAAATTGCTCACAAAATAGGCGCCAAAACTTCTGTTAGAAAAATCAAAAAAAGATTTTGGCATTCAGACATGAAAATCGATGACGCATTTTGTAGAGAATTCGATTCTCTATCCGATGGTATAGTTATCAGAATTTTCGGAAAATATATTTAGGTCAGAAAATTAACTAAAATTTGAAAATTTTTTTAATTTAATGTATCGCTATGGAAATTTAACTTTAACTTCAGTTCAGATTCGTAACCAGCGCGAAAAACTGCGTCTTATGATGTATTTCTAACCTTTGTTTGAGTGAAAACAAAAATTCGAACCTGCTGATCCGACGGTTGATCGTTAACTGGCCACGTCGGGCTGTAGCATGATTTTCAATCGTTTTAAAATACAATGATAAATTACAGTCTTGCTGCATACAACTTAACATATATTTTTGTTTTTTAACAGTGGACTTCTTGTAAATAATCGGTTTTCTTTAGTTCTTTAATGCTTCTATTTCTTTGTGACATTCTTCATTTTTAGCTATATTGCTGCTCTAGTGGCGTTTACCTTTATTTAACTATAGACGTTTAATCAAAAATTCATTTTCTGTTCTCATTATGTCATTTCGATGTTAGATTTTTGAAAATTTTCATTTTAATTCCTTCATAATCTTGTTTTTTGATTTTGTGTAGAATTTCAAGGTGCATATTCAAGAAAAAATTAGTTAAAATATGTAATTGTTTGAATAATTTCTCTTTCAAAGATATACAAACGATAACAATACGGAATAAGAGGTTAATTAATAAGAATTATTATTCATAAAATACGATAGCTCAAAGACTGTAGAAACATAAACAATCTCCATTTCAAGTCTCCACTGCAGAGTTGAACAGTCTTTTACAGAGTCAAAATAAAAATATACATTAATGTATCAGCTTCTATAATTGTCACTATTAGGATGACGCTGATAATTACTTCGATGAACAAAACGTTCTACATTATATGCTTGTAAACCTCTCCTAGTTTGAACAATATCAAACTGAACACGATCACCATCGCTTATATCATTATCACTAATCAAACCTGTGTAATGGAAAAAAAGATCACTACCAACCTCATCAGTAATTATAAAACCATAGCCACGTCGGCGATTATACCATTTAATTAAACCATTGTGTTTTGTGGAAGAATAAGGAGTTTCATTGTATTGTGTGTTGATCCATTGTTGATCGCTGTATGATTGAGTATGCGTAGTCGTTTTACTTAATAACTTACTTTTGGACGATTCATAGTTGTCACTCATGCAGTCTAACTTAAGTTCACTAACACTAATGTCTGGATTCACTGTCCATTGATGATTGACATACAGTTTTTTCTAAAGCTTTTGTTATAAGTTCTTGTTCGTACGGATGTAGCTGTCTCTCTTTATTATGATACTTATCATCAGATGCATTAAATACCCCAGAATTGAATTCCCATTGACCACCTTTATAAGCAAAACCTGCACCAATAAAGTTTTGATCGGGTTCTCTACCAAAGAAAAACTTGAATAGTTTCCCGTGTACTGCGCCTTTATTACTTCGTATATGTTGAATATTCTTTGTCTGTTTTATATAAATATAACCAGTTTTCGATCATCGACCATTCAGTTCGAATTCATTCCTATAATCCTGTAAATAAACTATGAGACCAACGTGATCTCGATCGGGATTGAATTCATCTGATTTCTCATCAATGTGAATACTTTCCAAGCGAATCGGTGGATTTTTTTCATCCGAACTGTCAAAAATTCCATCCCCTTTATTTGCATTATTAACAGACATTCGTGGTTTAGACAAACCTAAGAGCCTGTTTTGTTGACAGTCAATACCATTATATAAGTTGTTCGCCCCGTTACGGGTTTTGTTGCTACCAACTGCCATCGTTGTTACTTTATGTTCTTCTTTGATTTACCTGTATGGTTATACAGAGACTTTTTTTTCTTGACTTTACTGTAAAAACAATATCATTCAAACCATAAAAGAGAGAAAAACTTTTATCTTTTATATTAGTGCATCGACAATAATTTTATGCAGCCATTGATAGTGATTAAACATTCGCGAAGAACAATGAGTAAGTATGTGGACAATAATTCTCCACATTTATACTAGCATTTAAATTCATGTGTATTTCTTCTTCGTAACTATATAAAAGAAAATAATCGACTGCTGATTCAACCATAGATTCTATTTGTTTGTAATATATCTTCAGAAAACCGAGAACGAGCAAAAGTGGTTTGTCATAGACAATATTTGATGATACTAGTTGATTTTATAAACTTTTTATATTTGTATTAATAAGTCTAATGTTATATTATTAAAATTAAGGAGTTGAACAACTGATGCAAGAATTTTTATGTGTAAAACGAAATTTCATCCTGTATCAGGAGTAACTGACATATATTGACAAGTGTCACCAAAATAACTTACAATAGAACGGTTTGTACTGTCAGGCCGCTTTCAAGTTCGGAGCATGTGTATTAGATAGACCCCGGTGAGGTATAAAAAACCCTAAAAGGCTATGTGCTGATGGGCCTTCCCTCCAGAGTCACAGTCATTATACTGGAATTTTAGCCTATTGCATGGTATCTACCAAAAACGCTAATCACGATATTTCGACCTGAAATTTTGCCTACAAGCAGGCCTACTTGTAACTAGAATGTTCTGCAAATTTCAGTTCAAAAGAATGTTCCCTTCATATGATATTGTGTTTCCCAAAAACCTGACATTCTCCAATCTTTTCATAGAACAAGAGTGATTTTGGAAGTTCAATATCTCAAGAAGGGAACATTCTTTTGAACTGAAATTTTTGCAGAACATTCTAGTTACAAGTAGGCCTACTTGTGGGCAAAATTTCAGGTCAAAATATTGTGATTAGCGTTTTTGGTAGATACCATGCAATAGGCTAAAATTCCAGTATAATGACTGTAACTCTGGAGGGAAGGCCCATCAGCACAAAGCCTTTTAGGGTTTTTTATACCTCACCGGGGTCTATCTAATACACATGCTCCGAACTTGAAAGCGGCTTGACAGTACAAACAGTTCCATTGTTAGTAAACAAACACTAATATAATCTTGTTTGAGAGCATCTGATTCTTACTTTACATAACATGTCCCTCCATTTAGACAAGATTTTTGTTTTGAGATAAATCGCACTGACGTTTTAAATGGCAAGTTGGACCAAATCGATTTATTTGGCATAAACAACATCGTGATGGTCGACATAAAGCATTTGATGAACTAACATGATCAGGAAGACAAGTGGACGTATTATCGATACTCACAATTTATACCATACAAAGAATTATTACATGAACAATAATATTGACTTGAATCAATCATATGCATTACAGGATAGCATGTACCATTATTTCTACAAGATTTTGTTGAACAAGTATGATTTTATTGTTGTTGTAATTTCAATTTTAACATTTTTGCCATACGAAATGATGGTAAGAAATCAAAATCAACTCTATAAACACAAACGGCTAGTAATCGAACACTTGAATTATGATTTAATTTCAAAAATTTCAAAACGTACTGGATATGGCTGTTCCGTCGCTAATAGTCTCGGTAGTATTTAGCAGTATTTATGGAAAACGTTAAAATTTTTTTTGACTTGAATACATAAGGGAAAATATTTTGGTAGTAGTAGATAGCCCAAATTTTGCTGATTCTGAATATGTTCTTAGACTGTAGCTAAACTCGAATCTACAGGGAGAAAATTGGCTTTTTCCAGCCAGCTAGCGGATTGTAGTGAGATTTTTCCATCTAACTTTTTTCCATAAGAAAAATGCTTCGAACAGAAATTTTTCTGCCATTATACCGGTCATTAGTTGAAGTTTACAGAAGAATCTTCAAACGACGAAAAAGTAAACTTCGCGATTTTGACCAAATCTCCGCCTGGATGCCTACTGTGAAACGCATCTAAAAAAACTAGCAGAAAATGAACAACCTTAGGCTTGGAAACTAAGTTCTATGTTGACTCTTGTTAAGTAGATATTACCCAGTCAGTCATAGTCATTCCGAAAACCGCAGGTTTCCAAAATTTATGAAAAATTCTACGCGTTTAGCGAATTTGTGGCACAAACACGTAAGAAACTATGAGTATAGGAAAAATAACACGCAGGAACACGCGAGCAAAGCCTCTGTTTCCATGGCAACGTACCCTTCCTGCGTGTTATTTTTCCTACATTCGCAGCTTCTTGCGTGTTTGTGCCACAAATTCGTTGAACGCGTAGAATTTGTCGTAAATTATTGAAACCTGCAGTTTTCTGAATGACTGTGACTGACAGGGTATGTTTTAATTTTTTGCAATCACAATGTATTTTTGAAATAGGAGCGTGAAGCTTCTTTAAAGAGAAAATTCTTAGAACATTTCTATTTCAACGGACCTCGCCAGATATCATCGAAGATCTGCTTCCACGCCCACCCACACAGAGTGGCCACTTTAATATATGGTTGAAAAGTCCTGACTCTAGCGCATAAGAATCTGGTATTCGAATTGTTCCTACTCCATTAGATTCAGAAAAAATGAGTTTATTCTCATTGAGGTACTTAAAGACAGTTAGATGTAGTGAAGCAGCTATACTTTATAACCAAAAAGGATTTTCAAACGCTGATTTTCACCATTAGAATCAGCACATTTTTCTGTACAAAATAGTTGTATTTGCTTATGTATACTGTCCCTTATCATCTGTGAAAACTTTGAGAAATGACTCAAAATCCGTCTGTGTGGAAAAATATCATCTAAATTCAACATTATTATGATACTGATATTGGGTATAGTACACAACGGACGAAACACCCTGGTTTCACTGAAATTGTATCACAAGGTTTGTTGACACAAAGAAAAAGATTAAAGTAAGTCACGTCATTATTTTATTCTCAAAGTTTTATCTTTGAAACTATCGCAACGTATAGTGGGTGGATATAAATGATTCATATGATTCGTATGATCACGGTATAATTGCATATATACTTTTCATTAGCTGAATCATATGACAAATAGTTAAAAGAAATGAGATTTGTCGTCTTTTACACCATATCAATTTGGCAAAAACCAAGCATATGCTCACCTATAAATATTAAGAGATGTGGTAGTTTCGGAAATAATTATTAGAAGAAAAGATGCTACAGAGTATTGTACTTGGTGTTCCAGACAAACAGAAAATAAATTTGAATGTATTAATCATCGGTTGTGGACCCGTTGGATTATTATTAGGTTCGTATGATTATTTACAAATATTTCTTTAAACTTTTCCCTACATATTTTTTTTTAGGATGTTTATTGAGAGATCAAGGCATTCGAGTGACGATGTCTGACAAAAGATCGAAGTATAGTCGCACAAGACATGTAAAAATCAAGGGCAATGTTATTGATGAAAATTTAAACAACGATATATTTGATATGAGAAATATGGTATCCATAATGAATGATAATTTGATAAACGAAATTGTTGAAGCAAAATTCAATGTTTCTTCAGATCTGAAAAAAATAATTCAGAAATGGATGGGAAAATGCATACCATTGAACGAAATTGAACGCGAGTTATCCTCTTATAAAGATCTTAAGAATTTTATCTCATTCGGAAAACAATTTGGAATAAACGATTTGACCAGTTATTCTAATACATTAATATTTGATTGTACGGGATATAATTTTGTGCTAAGGAATCAAATTCAACCAGAGAATATGTTTCTTATCAATACAGAATATATTATCGTAATGACATTTTTGTACAACGGGAACTATGAGTGCAATGAAAAATGCAAATATTACAAAAACAAGAACACGAAACATTTCAGAATTGTAAGGTGCACGCAAAGCAAAATTCGAGCAAAAAAAATTTTTTTTTCGATGTTTCAGACACCATTCGATAGAGAATTTTACGGCGATCAGGAATATGTGTTCCCTGAAAATTTTCGATGCTTCTTTCTATCGTAAAAATCAAAAAAACTTGAAGGGTGTCAAGAA